AAAAAACTTTTGAACAGTATTGAATATTTAGTATTTTTTACAGTATAAATGGGCCTTTATACATGAAAATATATAGCTGCCTTTATATTGACAATGGCATCCAAAGTTTGAAAACCTTGTACTGTGGTGCTCTGATGTCTGAGGACCTTCATACTGTGTATTTTAGTGGCAGAGCAACAGAGAAACCCTGGAGTCTAGTGGAGAGAGAGTACTGGAAGCCCTCAGGAAGGGGACAGAAATCTCTGCCAGCCCTGGAGAAACTCTTCCATCTGGCCCAGATGTTGCCAACAGATGTTACCAGCAGCTGGCTCACTCTTATGAGGAAGAATATGGAGGTTTTCGAGAGGCACCGAAGTTTCCTTCACCAGGTAAACAAAACACTGGGATGAATTGAAAGGATACTTATTTATCACTAAAAAAATACTTATTTATCACTAAAGCTTGTACAGTATTTACAGTCTGTCATTAATTTATTATTAGAACAGAGTCACAAAGAATGTAAACACAAGATTCTGTTGACCACCTGTGTTAATTACCGGTCAAATATGCGTCTGCATTAATAATGTAAAATTGCCTTGTGTTTTTCTTTTCTCCAGTGAACCTGATGTTCCTGATGTCATTTTGGGCAGTAAATCGTGCCAGCTCTGAGGGAGCAGAAGCACTGCGAATGGTCCTTCACACTCTCCGAATGATGGCACTAGGGGGCATTCATGACCATGTGGCACAGGTTACATGCAAATACGGTGTATTCAGAACCCGTCTCAACTATAACAGATGTTAAATATCAATTCTTCCCTTTTAATTACATAACCAAACACAAAAATCTTCTTTTTTTCAGGGCTTTCACAGATACTCCACAGACTCCTCCTGGCATGTTCCTCACTTTGAAAAGATGTTATATGATCAAGGCCAGCTTGCTGTGACCTATATCACTGCTTACCAGGTGTGAATATATTTGTGTGTGTGCATTTGATATATTTTTAATATATGATATATTTTCTGTATATCTTATCTCTCCAGATAATTGCTTATATCCAGAAAGCAGTAATGAAACGCTGTGCTGTACTTCTGGAGTTTGTAGACAGAATAAGGACTTTATTGTTGTTAAATATTGCTTATTCTGTGTTTCTGTATCAAAAGTTAAAGAAATGGTTCACCCAAAAATGAAAAT